GTCATTTAGCTTAACAGGTTGCGACAATCATAGTCACAAGCTCTCGTTTGGTGATTTGTCCGATGACCCACTGGACCCGAGTTCAAACATGAGATCTTATCTGCCTGTTGGGTGAAGTATTACCGGCGACTAATCACACACGACTCCGCCATTTCCTTTGTTCTCCAGCCTACTGATAGTTCGTCTATGTCAATACAAGCGAACATGTGAGTCTCAGGAGGTAATTGACAAGCAGACGACTCGATCGCTGGGACAATACTTTTATTGGCCTGACGTTTCGAGATCCGTCGCGGACTCATCATCAGAGCCATAAGCAGAAAACAGTAGCAGATATCTACTACTATCAAGGCAGATTAGTGGACACCCCTGCCATGTGGCCTTAAAGGCGTCGGTTGAAGTTTCAATTTTGCTGTTAACCTGAATAACCCTCAGTTCTTCTGCGTTTCTATCCGTCAAGGTATTCAGTACGCACTCAGTGGCTGCTTACAGGAGACGCAACGAATCTATTGACCCCGTGGCCGCTTCCGCTGAGTATGAACTCGAAAAGCGTTTGGAGGAACTCGATCTCTTCCAGATGGATTTGCAGAAAGGTGAGATTCGTGTCCATGCACACATGCAGTAGTGGTTAGCACAAAATAAGTGAAACTGTTGCCTTCTCTCTTTACACTTTGTGCAGGTTCCAATGGACTGGGAATAAGCATTCTTGGCATGGGGATGACCTCGGCCAATGGCGTAGAGAAGCTGGGCATTTTTGTGAAGGCTATTACACCAGGCGGAGCGGCGGATGTTGACGGAAGGTAATAAGGCGCGTTTTCTATGCGCCCACTGACACCAGTATGATCCGTGCCCCATCCCTGTTCTGACCATATGCGTTTTATTAATCTTCACGGCGCACGGCGTGGCGTCGTAGCTCAAGTGGTAGAGCGTTGGCTGCGTAAAGGCCTTCCCTGCTATGCGGGTTTGACTCCCGCCGACGCCGCGAGTTTTTTTTCATTATTCGCTCAAATAAACTTAATAAAACAGTTATCTGGACGCTGAAGCAGAAACAGTAGGTTGCCTCTAATAAGATGGGATGGTCATTTTTAGAAAAGTTGTCGCTGTTAACTATGGTTTATTGAGATAAACAGTACTGAAAATTAGTTCTACCAATTCATGATGCTAATGTGTGTGCGTAGCACGTTTTAGCCCCACATTTTGCACCTGTTGTAGCACAGCGTGCTTTTCACCTCACCACTAAATGTTCATAATATCGAAAACTATCTTTGCGTTCTGAGGACGCGGCCAAAGTGTTCTGCTGTTTTAATTCAGCCCCAGAGGTGATACACGCATAGCCGAGGAATTTGACTCCCCCCCGGAAGGCCTGCTGTATTTTAAATTCAGTCTGTCTTTCACATTAACGCTGGGCGTGTAGCATGCATTTGTTTTGTTAATGTGAGCCCGCCGCAAAGCCCGTCTGAGTTAGGGAACTGACGTTTCTTTCTGTCTATTGCCCAATGACTCCTCTGAGGTCATTATACTACGCAGCAGGCGGAAAAAAAGGGTGGGGCCGGTGATCCAGGGTCCAACAGGTATGCAAATCGAAGAATTGGATAAACCGGTGTTAGGGGGGGATTTTAAATCGCGTTTATTCGGTCGGTTGTGCCGCGTAACCCGCAATCGCATTCCTTCCCGAGATTACTCTATTTACATATAATACGCCAACTGAAATGATAAGTTCACCATGCCAAGCGTAATTCGTCCCGCATTTCGTATTTTACTGTCAGGAACCGTCTGTGTGGAATTTGCTCCCTCTGTCATTTGTTTGGGTTTACGCTTCCTCACCCTTC